TAATAGATTGTAGTTGTCAAGATCCTTGGGATGCTTTAAGGAGACCAAATGTCTTCACGTCTTGTAATCTTACAAGCTTTAGACTATCTGTGATTTTCTCTAGAGATGTGAATTATGGAATATATACATTATTATTATTGTTTCCTTTAATTCCGAGAGGAACATAAGGCTTCAACTGTGCGTCTCCATTGCGTTCTGTTCTCTGCTAGAGTCTTCACCTGGCTCCATGTCTGCCCACACGTTTACATCTCCTCTTCACATCACCTCCTCCAAGTCACCCTTGCACTGACGACCAACTCGCCGCTTCCCTTTTGGGTTCCACTCGAGCAATGGCTTGTCTAGTGATGTCACTCACTTGATGGTTTGTTTTCTCAGAGAATGGCCAATCCACCTAACTCCATTTCTTCCTGCAGATTTGTTTGACAATCGGTTCCTGCTGTGTTGGTTCGCTCACTGCCAGAGATCTCTGTCGCTGATCTTTTCTGGCCGGCCATCTGATCTTGAGTATTGAGCGAAGACAACTGTTAATGAAGGTCTGTAGGTTGTTTGAGATGCTCTTAATGACGCGCAGTGCAAGTCTCTGATCCGTATAGTAGCACTGACTGACTTCACATTGGAGTTGAAAATCCGGATGTTATTTTTGATGCTGAGTGCTGTTGACCTCCACACAGACTTGAGAGTAGTGAAAGCTTGTCTTGCTTTTCCGATTCTTGCTTTGATATCCTCGTCAGTTCCGCCCGCCTGTAGTTGAAACGATGCTTCCCTGGTCAGTAGGTGAAGGAGGTTGTATCTTTCAGATTCCTCCCATTTATGCTGATTTTTGTCTGTTGTTGTTGGTGGTGGTGGCGGTGTTGCCCAGGAATCTTCATCACTTCTGTTTTCTCTATGTTCACCTGAAGTCCTGTCTTTGATGATTCTTCTGCCAACTTATTGCTTTTCGCTTGCATATCTTCCAGTTTGTGGGAAATCAGACATGTATGGCATCGGCGAAGTCCAGATCCTCCAAGTTTTTTGTATGAGTCCATTGGATCATAGGAATTTTTAAAAAAAGACGGTTGCAGCGAGGAAAGTTTTCGTTGCGACGAAGTCATCAACTAGGCTGTACATTTTCTTGTATTTATATAACGTGTGTGTGGGAAAGTTCCAGAATTATTTCTGGTCAGAGGTCATTACTAAGTGTAATAAACAGAAGATAAATAAGTAGTGGCACTATTCTAGAAATATTTCAGGCCAAAGTTTAAATTAAAAATTATAATGTGTAATAATCAGGATGATTGGGTAGAAAAGACAAAATAGGAATATGATTACTAGAAAACTAGTCAGTTTGTATAATTACGGGTTAAGGATTTAGTATTAACAAAATGGGTAGGAGGAGGTTCGGACATATAAAAATAAAAACAGTAACTGAATCTAATAATGCGGATAAGGCAAATATGACAAACAAACGGGAAGGTTGGACAAGAAAGGTAATAGGATTATCATTATTGGTAAGACTGATTTTTCATGATAGCCACGGTAGGGACAGCGGTTGGACGTATTTCTTTTGGACACCTAGAATAGGCTTGAGCTTTTGGATCGCCAGTGCCTCACCTATTCCTAGATGTCTTAATTTCACTCCCCTGTGTAGGTTGGATTAAATCTTATGTATGGCTTTGAAGGACTTTTCATTTGGGGCTGGATGTTCAGAATTCACCAGATGTCCTGTTATCGAACTGTATACCCCTTCGCGTTCTCCCTTTGCTAGCTATGCTGGATAGTGTTTCCGCTCGCGTTTTACTGGCGGACGCATGGTACGGCCAATAATACGCAGCTCCACACGAGCAAGTGAACTTGTATATGCACGCTGATGTGGCCCAATGCGACAGCTTGTCTTTCACGTGTTGGGTGAGTAGTTTCTTGCAGGCGAATGTTTTTCGTAGACTGGCGGCGAAGTGTATTTTACCGAGGGACTTCAAAAGCCATCTGCAGAGAATTTCTGCTTCGGTATCACTTTTCAATTCGAGATTCAATATCAGCAACTTTTGGAGGGCAACTTGGATCTTTTCAGGTGTTTTCCTTGGTTTTAGATTCTTGTCTATGAATCTGAGTGGGAATCCACTTTCTGTCAAGGTTCCTCGGAGGTGTTGTAATCCTTCATTGATTGACTCTTCAGTGCAAATCTTTCAGATCCTCGAGAAAAGAGAGTATATATTAGGTTTTAAACTTGAATTAATTTCAATGTAGGCTACATCGTGAAACCAAGGAACATTGGATAGTGGTTTTCGCCCTAGTTTGAGACTCTTCAGGAGGGCATATCCATGACTGCATTGAATATCGAATCCGGAACGGTGATAGGTGATCAGAATAAGTATCTTTGAACATTCAGCCATATGGGGCTGAAATTCATTTTTTCATATAGTGTTTTCAAGTTTTAAAAATGAAATCCTCACTAATCTTACGCTAACTACTCTCTTTCTCTCTCAAACATACACTATCTTTCTATCTCATGCATTTTCGTCTATTTCTGTTTCGTCTCATTTTCTTCCTCTAATTATATGTTTGACAAATTGAATTAATTTAATTTTTACGGGAAACAATTTTTACGCTGGCATAGTATTCATTTTCAATTGCTTATTAAGAGAGTTGATTTTGCGCTACAACAAACGACTGCTTAAATTTCCATTGTTATGCATTGATAAATATGGGACTACATACTACATACATACATACATGCTTGACGGAGTTTTATGCCGTCGAAGATTTTAGCCCGTACAAATTATTGAAACATCACAATGCACCTACAGTAACTTACCAGATGAACGAACATTTGAAGTGACAGAAATAAAAGGTTACAAGGAACTTTGTCTAACAGTTCAGCTTGACAAACTTTGCAGTCACAACCATTAAGGTTAACAAAGATAAATAAACTACACTGGTAAACATAAATGTTGGCATTAGATGGTTGAAGGCAATCGGCAGGGAAGCCTTGCTTGACTGACCTGAGTTTCGTGCTAGTTGACAGACTCACCAGTCAGTCAGCAGGGCTTGTCTACAACCTCGAAGAAGGAAATCATGCCACCCCATCTGAGACTCGAACCCGCATCACCCCGTGACTGCTCCAGTCAGAGATGTTACCACTGAGCTAGCTATTCAGGCTCGCAATTGACCTCCTGTACGATTCCAACCGTCTAATACCAACAATTCATAGCGCACTATGATGGCCAGTCATCTAGCATGTTGGCGAAATTGCAAAATTAACTGGTAGAATTCAGTCTACACCAAACAAAGGACTAGACACATTACACTAGTTAATGACTAGTATCCAATCAAAAGCGTAAATCTGCAAGAAAAATAATAATTACATAAAGAACAATAAGAATATGATAGACTTAAAAGTTCATGAAGTGTGATTGTATCTGCGCTATCGAACCAGGGAATCTTAACACCTCAAAGATCCACCCAACCTGGTAGTCTATTCTTATCTACGTGACTAGAAAATAACATTCAATGACTTCATGGATTAAAGTTAATTTATGGATGGTGACTAGCAGTGGAATCCACGATGTGCATTCTGCCCTATTTGGGACTCTTCATCTGAGTGTACCTGCACTCCGCATTGAGTGATGATGTTCCCACCAAGGCTCGAACCCAACGCCCATAGTTTCAAACGGCAAAGCGTTATCCATTAGACCAATTGGGCCACTTCACGGACTGATGAAAATTTTTGATTTAACCACTCTTAACTTGTTTCCAATCTAATCCCATGCCAGCTAACAGTACTGGATGAAGAAGACGATGACTCAGCATGTGCAACATATGTCCTACCCATATCAATCGATACATGACTTTACTGAGCTATTGTCTATACTATCTGCAAAGCATTTCACACCTTGGCAACGTATAACTACTGGATTGGTAAATCCTGTATTATTTTAACGAAGTGCTGTGAATTAGTATAGGGCCATTGACGTAAACATTGAATAAAAATAATGTATTTTTTGGACAAAATTAGTGGATCATATCATCTGAGAAAACAAACCATCAAGTCACATCACACGCCAGGCTCTCTCTCTCTCGAGTGGAACGCTAATGGGAAGCGACGAGATGGTTGTCACTGTGAGAGTGACATGGAGGAGGTGATATGAAGATGAGATGAAAGCATGTGGGCAGGCGTGGGGCTAAGTCAGAACGTTGACTGAGAAGCGAACGCAATGTAGACGTGTGTCTGAAGTCCTATGTTTCTCTAGGAACTAAACGAAACAGTAATAATAAAATGGAATCATTGTGCACAGCTTTTGTTTGAAACGATTCATTGTAAAATATACATAAATTTGGAGTACAATCTAAAATACAGCGTGCTGCTCGACGCTTCGTCCTCTCACTGGTCCTTACTGTCTACTTGCTTCACTACTAACCGTGTTTTATGGGTTGTTTTCTCAGAGTATGGTCAGTCCATTTCCATTTCTTCCTGCTTATTTACTGCACAGTTGGTTCCTGCTAGGTTGGTTTGCTGATTGCCAGAGATACCTATTGCCGATCTTTTCTGGCCATCTGATCTTGAGTATTGAGCGAAGACAGCTATTGATGAAGGTCTGTAGTTTGTTCGAAGTGCCCTTCGTGACGTGGCGCGGCGCCACGTCTGTGATCCATCCGTATTGTAGCGCTGACTTTACATTGGAGTTGAAAATCTGGATCTTATTTTTCATACTGAATAGTGCTGTTGACCTCCACACAGAGATTGAGAGTAATGAAAGCTTGTCTTGCTTTCCCGATCCTTGCTGCTTTGATATCCTCGTCAGTTCTGGCCAGTGGATATCAGCTATTATTTGTTCAAAATCTCGATTTCGACTTTCCCATTGGTTGACTTGCAGAGGACCTCTAAATGCTGTCCCTTTGTTGACATACTGGCTTCGAACTTCTTCAACAGTTTATTGTTACTTTATTTATTTATTGCCTCACATTTTACTGCTTTTCACATTTGGTTGTTATCTTTCATCCTCTTTCTTTCTTTCTTTCTTCAGATCTATTGATTCATATGCTGAAGACTATGGCAGTGTATATAATAATCGACCGATTGTTGTCATCTTCTATGTCGCCTATATAATTGTGATAGCCTTTTTCATGATTAATATATTTGTCGGTTTTGTTATTGTCACATTTCAACAAGAAGGGGAACAAGAATACCGGAATTGTGAACTAGACAAAAATCAGGTGAGTACTATTTTACTTTTCTAATTATTTCTCTTTTTTTTTCTTTTCTTTTTTTTTTGATGAGTATTTATTTCTTTTGAAATACATAGTCTGTGAAGATGAACGTTTTAGATCACTACAAGAGTCAGCTTTATTATACCCAGATCGGTCGGTCGGTCGGTTTTTGACACAGAACTTTGCACATATGTGCGACAGTTCAAGTCGCCACACTCCCTTCTTGTAGCACACAAAGCAAGAGAAGAAAGTAGGAGAAATGCATAATAGAGACAGTAAACAGAGGTGTGAGACAAATGAATAATAATAACGAAGAACAAAACAGTTTCATTGGAAATTATAAGTCACAAGGAGTGGATGCATCTGCACCAGCCTTTGAGAACGATTTCGAGCCATGTCACCAATTGTTTCCAACCATTGGTTTTCACCGTCTCGAGGACCCCAACCAGTCAGGAAGTCTACATCTTCCTACGTGGCTTAGACTAACTGTTGTGGATTTCATTGACAGGTGCCAAGTTTTCGTTTGACCGCCGCTAGCTCTTTTCCAGCCTGACCCATTCTATGTCAGCTAACATTGCCCGTCGAGGAAGGCGATGACTAGGCATGCGTAACACATGTCCTAACCATCTCAGTCGATGTGATTTCACAGTCTCGTCTATTGATTTCCCCTCCTTACCTAACACTCGAAGCCTAACCAGCTCAATATTGCTCACCCTGTTATACCACTTCACACGGGAGATAGAACGCAGACACCTATGATCAAAGACAGCTAGCTAGGCTTTTCATGTTTTCCGCTCTCAATGGCCAGGTCTCACAGCCATAAAGTAGAACTGAGCGGACTGTTGAGCAGTACACACGCCCTTTGGTCGACAGGCGGATATCACGTCTACGCCAGAGACGGCGTAAACTGGCATATGCAAAACAAGCCCTTTGTATTCGTGCTGAGATTTCGTCAGAGGTCAACCCGTTGGCGTTGGCTGACGGTACTTCCCAAGTAAGTGAAGCGGTCAACGTGCTCTACCACTTCACTTCCTATTTCTAATCTAGGAGTCGGTATAGTCCAATCCTGCAACATCATCTTACATTTTACAGGGGCGAATCACATGCCAAACATACGAAGATTGTTGCTCAAGATGTTCAGTAGACTCTGCATTTTGTCAGTGTCATCGTCTAGAAGGACTATATCGTCTGCATATTCTAAGTCAACGAGATTATTCTCTGGCAGCAAGTCAATCCCTGAGTCGCTGAAGTGTGTTAGGGTTAAGTCCATTAGTACCTATTAGTACCCAGATACCTACAAACGGTCTTCAAAAAAAATGGTTATCCACAAAATTTCATCAAAATGTGTTTAAAATCGAATTATAACACCAACAAGGAACCACCATCATCCTACCATAAATGAGAAATATCTCTGAAATAACAGCTAGAATACTGAAACCGTTTGATATAGATATAGCGCACAAGCCAGTCAAGTCGCTTAATTTGATATCATGCAAGCCAAAAGATCGATCCAACAGAAAAAGGAGATATAGTTAATACCATTTACAAAATAAATTGCATGCATGAACTGTAACAGGCATTACATCGGCCAAAGTGGGCTTCCCCTTCAAATCAGAATCCAGGAACACAAAGCCGTGAAAAGACACCATACATAAATTCTTTAGTATCAATGCACAGAGACAATTATGGACATCAGTTTGATTGGAATAATGTCGAGATCTTAGACAGAGGAAACACCAAAAGTGCAGTCAGGGAATTCCTAGAAGCCTGGTACTCAAACGAATATGCAATTAACAAACACCTTAATATAGACCAAATATACCAACTAATAAAAAGTAAATCAGGCGACCACAAAGTTTAAAATCCAAGTCAATAGAAAATGATCAATACATATGTAAAGATGGTTACCAGGAGACGCAATTATATCACTCATGAAGAAATTTAAATCAGTTCACTTTACGCTAAATATTGAGCTGAAGGAGGATGTTGTCCAGAAGGACGACGAAAGCTTCGCAACTAAACCAACCAGCTCAGAGAATACTATTAATTGCAAATCATCCACCTGAGCTACAAATCTTCTCTATTATTTCAATACCTTGGTCTCATTTCCTTTGAAAGGTTTGATTGGATATTGTATATGTCTTTGGAGGATTTTACAAATGCAGCTGAATATTTCTTGAGTCCATGAGATGCCCTGTTACTAAACTATATACACCCCTGCTTTCTTGTATATGCATGTTGATGTGGCCTAATGCAACAGCTTGTCTTTCACGTATTGGGTGAGTAGTTTCTTGCAGGAGATTGTTATTCGTAGGTTGGCGGTGAAGTATATCTTCCTGAGAGGTTTCATAAGCCGTTTACGGAGAATTTCTAATTCAGTATCACTTTCAAATTGGAGATTGGGCATCCAGCATCTTTTTGAGTAGCAACTTTGACTATACGTGCAATTGTAAAACACACTCGGAAATACTATTCAACCTGACTAGCGATGGCAAACAAAGCGCAGGTGTGTGTATATAGTTCGGTAGTCGAAAATCTGGTGTACTCAACATTTCGTTTCCATATGAAAAGTCATTCAAAGTGATAAATAAAATTTGATCAAACCTTTCGAAGGAAGTGAGATTAAGGCATCTCGGCATAATGAATACCCATTCAAATTTCGTCGCCCTTCACAGGTTGTCTTTAATCTAGATCATATTGTAAACTGAATTGAACACTGGTCTCATTTATTTGATGACGACTTGAAGTAGAATTCAGCCTGATTATTTTGTCCTATTTTTGAGACAAGTCAACTGGATGCACCTGTATCCCCAGTTAGGGATGGTGTTCACCCACTGAGTCACTAAACTGATATGATTATGTATTTAATTGGTGGATGGTGACTAGCTGGAGAATCCAGGATGTGCATTTCTTCCTGTTTGGGGTTCGTCATCTGGATGTACCTGCATTTCTCAGTGAGTCATGATGTTCCCACCGAGGCTCGAACCCAGTGCCCATAGTTTCAACCTCCAAAGCGTCACCCACTAGACCACTTGGGCCACGAGAGCCGCCTCTTGTGCAACGGGTCATACTAATTTCATTGAATTTTAGATTTCCCCGTCGAGTGATTGGACCCAAGTGCTCGGTCTCAGGTTGAGAGACTGAGAAATGCAGGTACATCCAGTTAGTTGACGAGTCCCGAACAGGACGAAATGCGCATCCTGGTGGATTCAAATGATAGTCACCATCCACAAATCAAATTAAATTCTAATTAAATGCCCAGACATCGTCGAAGCATCTGCACAAGAAGCCGATATGTCTACCTGAGACACCGAGCACTTTGGTCCAATCAATCGACAGGAAAATCTAAAATTCAATTAAAATATATGCCCTACATTTTTGGAAGAAATAGATACGGAGATTTTGCTTTTGGAAAGCCTGCACTTTATGCACATCTCTGAACATTATACGGCATGGTTAGCAAAGAGACAATGCAAGACAATTACTAGCTGAATTCTTGAGCATTTGGTGAACTCAGGCCACGTAACTCTACCAGAATCGTCATCTTTCAAAATCTGATTAAACTTCCAAAGAGAGAAAAACAACATAAAACTGCACGCACACGCACACGTTCATCACACACACAACAAAACAGAAAGAAATTGATCGATATATCTTTATATATTACAGATCTTCTAAAGGTGATCTGTGTCTGTGCGTAGGTGCGTATGTGCGTGTGTGTTTCTTCTTTACAAACTATAGTTTTTTATTTAGTTTGCATTACTTACTGTCTAGTATGTTGAATTGTGTAATAGAAAACAAAACAAAAAATAATACAGTAGCACAAATATTATTGATTTCTATTGACTTCTACGGGATGGTACTGTGCATAATGTTGTACTCACTAGTCAGTGAATAAATTAAATGAAAATCTTTAAATAGAAGGTGTGAGGTATCATACAAAACAAAAAGAAAGTACAACAGGAACATGATACAGGAATAACACGCACATGTACACACAGACAAATACAAACACAAACACACGCACATCGCTCATTGATTTTCCGATATAAATATATCCGGTTATTCATTCAATGAAGACACGAACATTGTACATTAGTTGACGAAAGCAGGGGAGATGAGGAGGCTAGTCATCTTTGAACATAGGTATATGGTTTCCCTCGCTTTCTTTCTCCCTCTGTCTGTTGCGCGCTTGTGTCACGCAGCATTTCATTCCTTTCCTTTCTTCTTATGACAAAAAGTGAGCTTTGCGTTCTGCTGTGTATAGCTGTGCAAAACTTCCTTCAGAAACGTACAGTTACGAAATGCTCCAAAGACAGTTAAAAGATGATTTTTCTTTGACAATTTTATGCGCGGTTCTATTCAACAACAACAACATTTTTTTCCTTCACGTTCCCCAGTGGAACATAGGGCTTCAAGCTAGTGGCTTGAAGTTTCTGTAGCGGTGTTCATCTTACAGGATGGGGTTACTAGCCTCATGCCCAACCTTCCCTCTTTACCAGCATTATTTCTGGCCTATCGAGGTAAAGGAGTGAGTCGGCCGGGGATCGATCCCCGGACCATGTGCATGGTTGGCGAGCGTCCTAACCGCTATGCCACCGACGCACAACAACAACATTAATAGAAAACATTTATTTTCCGATACGAATTTAAAACAAGTAATAAAGGTTAATAAAGCAGGATTTAATGAATTCGTCAAATTTCGGTAGAACTCGTCAGCTGAATACTCTACATACACGGATATATATCTACTTTTCAAATTACATTGGGAGATATAAGACTGATAAGTAAACAAACTACATTGAATTAGTCATGCAGAAAGACAGGTGCGAATGTTTTTCCAGGTCATGTTCAAATAGATAGATAAAGGGAGAGAGAGTATGGGAGATCAAAATTAAGATAAATTGCATTACGCTTCAATTACATCACTTAGATAAACAATTAGTCATGAGAGAACATAAAAAGAATTGCAAACAGAGTAATATCAATAGTAATAGCTATAATAGTGTTGAAGTGAGTTAAGATAATCCTACTGATAAAGGATAGTTTTAAGTTAATCAAGAATAATAATAATAAGAGGTAGAATAATGAGTAAAAAGTATTACCATGGTAGATTCAGAGTCACGACCATCTCCTTTTGTACACAGAGACCTGGTTTATAAACTCGCATTGCGCAAGCCTCTGCAATTGCAAGCATCTTCTTGTTTCTTTGTCTGCTGACAATAACAGTGAATGACTTGACCGCGTCGATATCATGTCCATAGGCTACAAGATGTTTTGTTATTGAGGATTTTGGCACTTTGCACTCAGCTGTTTTCAGCCATTTTGGTAAATGCTCCATCATGCGAGTAGACAATCGCTTTTTTGTAGGACGTATGTATTTGCTTTCTCCAACAAACACACTCAAATTGATATACGCAGTTTGAAGTGTCCAGTAATACCATCCAAAAATCAAAATTACCTCAGTCGAGGAAAACGAGTACTCAGAATCGTATAGGATATTCCGAAAAAGGGTAGAATCGAAAATTCTGTCAACAGGAGTCAAATACCAACTCTTTCTTTAGACAGTCCAAGGTCAGAATGATATTGATTCACTCAAACAAATCCACATCGTAAAACAACACATTACTAACATATCTCTCAACCACAAAGGGAAGCATTAAAATTAGAGATTAAATAGGGACAGAGACATATAGTAAGGACAACGTGATCATATGCAAACACTAGAACAATGATATGCAGTTTAGAATAAAAACGAATAATGATTACATAAAACAATCAGAAGACGTAATTTGTCTGAATCGTGTGTGTAATGTATTTGCGCAACACATTTCGAACAATCTGATCACACACGGACTTATCATAGGAAATTAATAAAGAGTTAAGAGGTGAGAAAATATACCATTTAGGTCAAGTTAAAAGGACTTATTCACGGTCAAAATAACAATGAAGACCACTAAACCAAATAGCAGAGGTAATAGTACATCTACCCTGGCTGTTATCAAAACAAAATTTACCAAGGAAGGTGGTTTAATGTGATGACGAATTGTTTTTGAACGCATAAAGGTGGTTTAAACTTTCTAATTGTTAGCTAGGATACACCCCAAACACGTTTTATAGATAGGTTTAAAAGCTCTGTTAACGTCAATTTTATGTCCTGTTTCTATAATATATTTCGCAATAGAGGAGCTAGGTCTCCTGTTCTCATCATTAGTGGTTTCTCGGGATTCTATTTGCTTCTGGAGCCACTTAGGAATATGCTCTGAAGCCAGCCCTTACTTGCAGAGATCGATAAGTCCTCCCTATATATGTGTGTCCACACGTACATTCAAATAGGTAAATACAGTGGGATGTGACATCATTTTTCGCATGATTACATAGTTAGTTGAAACATCCAAATAAGTGTGAATATTGTGATTAGATAGTTAAGCCGGGATTTTCCAAACAATATTTTCCCTTACAAGTGCTTTAAGCTGGAGCTTTGCAGTTCCAGTAGCATTGATGGATTTATTTTGCACTTTAGGGTTGCTGCCTACCCTGTTTACCGGACTTACTACCGAGTAAGTGAAAATTAACAGTGAGTCGGTTGGGAATCATGGTTAGTGAGTGTTCTACAACACTGAACCATTGACGAACAGGTGTAGACAACTACATATAGAGGGGTAAGTCATTAGATGAGGTTATGAAACTGCGTCGATTCAAATGGCTGCAACATGTGTCAGGCATGCTGGCCAAATTAAACTTTAAGCACCACTAACTAACTACCAATGGAGTGTGACTACATTAGGGTTGGTTCGAGTTAGATTACAGTTAGTTTAGGGATATTTTACGTTAGGGATAGGTTCAGGAATGATTAGGGTTATTGTTATTGTTAGAAGACCTAATTAATTACATGCATAATATGTGGTTAAATTAATCTGTTGATTTAAGAATAGAACTTGTGCACTGTGGCGGTAGAGTATAATTCCATTGTGGGTAAAATTTATTTTGATAAATTCTCACAGTAATATTTACTGATGACGCTTCGAGCACAGTTTAGTGCCCAGTAAATATTACTGTATAACACCGTTAGACTTTATCAAAAATAAATTTTACCCACAATGGAATTATACTCTGTTGATAATCCAACCCAAAACTGAGAGCTGTTTTTATCACATGTGAGAGGAAAGTACCCTCTGTAACACTTTACTACAGTGCTTATGCATTATTTCATAAATATATGTATTCCCTACACAAAAATGTCTCCTTCGCGTGATTGGTGCGTTCGAGGTCATTCACTGATTATTGGTAGTTAGTGGTGCATAAAGTTTAACTTTGCCGGCATGCTGAACCACCGCCTTCCATATCCATTAATGTTAACTAACATAGGATTAAGTTGGAAAAGAGTTAACAGTATTCGAACTAAAACCTGACATCATTCCATGAAGTATTCCACAAGTGATTTTAGCCACATAGATGGCTGGATTTGCCAACCGATGCGCTTCGCTTTCTGCGTCGGTGGCACAGCGGTTAGGACGCCCGCCGACCATGCACACGGTCCGGGGTTCGATCCCCAACCGACTCACACCCAATATCAATGGTCGGCCTGCAAAATTTGGGCTACCGATATCACAAGCTGAAAATTCCATGCTTGTGTCAAAAACACTGTGTGGAGTCAAGCTATAATAAAATAAAAAAATAAAAGAATCAATAATCGGAGAGATAGACTTTCGGTGAAATGACTAAACTTCATACTGAATGGTACGGATGCATTAAAATTTGCAAATTTCACAGTTCGATTGATGAAATTCTCATTACGAGATGTGGCAAATTGAACTGCTGCATTTTTTATACAAAATTCTACTTTGAAATTTCACTTCCCCTTCATCCTTTCCAAAACTTTCTAAAGTGATCGTGCATTTTGATCAAAATAAAGCAAATCAGTATGCAAATAGAAAATATGGCTACTTTCATGCATACACTGTGCGTTACTATGGTAATAAAGTTTAGTTTCTTCCTTAGAAGAAAATCATTCTTGAAATAATTATTGATTCCTCGTTGAATCACATTCTCTCGGTGTTTTAAATGCCATGCATGTAATGAGTCTGATTGTCAGCAGCTGGGTAGTCATCACACTGGAACACAAGTAGATACATCCACCTGAAGCTTGATCACGGAGTGATATCACACAACACAACCAGGGAGTACAAGACAGTTGTTTCGTTCTAGTCTGTGACTCATCAGCACTACGCACCCACTGGAGTTTGAACCTAGGACCTTCCGGTTACAGGGCAAGCTCGTAGAGCATTCAGACACTAGGATCCGACACAATGGCCAGCCCGTAAACTCCAACTTCAACCTGGTCAGTGGGTGTGTCCTGCTGAAGTGTCTCACACTAAAATGAAACAACTGTCCAGTATCCCCTGGTCGTTTTCAATGCTTCTGTAACAAATATCACTGCGTGGCTAAACTTGGAACAAATCCCTATAAAAACAAACTCTTGAAGACATTATTTTGTTTAACATCAATTCTGTTTTTCCCGGTGACATGTCGGCTTGCTCCCAGTACGGGCACTTCGAAAATATCCAAATATTAACACTGGTATCATTTGGTAGATGGTGACTAGTACTGAAATGCTGGATGCGCATTTCGTCCTTCCGGAGACTCATCATCTGGCTATACCTGCTACAGAAGCCAAACTTTTCTCTTCAATCAATCAATGGGAAAAGTAAAATTGACTTACGCAAAACAATAACTTATCCCTGTTGTACAAGAGTAATCTCTCGTGACCGGAGTGTTTTAGTGAACAACAACTCTTTGGCATACGAAACGAATGGCACTCAGTTCAAGTCTCCTTGTGAGGGAACAACACGACTCACTAGTCCCTGAAGGCACATCTAACTGATGAGTCTCAAGATGGGACGAAATATGCATCCTAGATTCTACACTGTTAGTTACCAACTCCTAGATGAAAATATAAACAAACAGTTTGCGATCAATAAAATATTTTTCTTAAAAATCTATTTTTTGGTTTCTCTTCATATTTTGTCCTATTCTTTACCAAAAACAAAAAGCTGGTATACACTGCATAAATTATGTGATTTCGTTTAACCTTTCCAAGCATGCATGGTTGGATGGTTATCTCACCCACCACCGGTTATGGTGTTCGTTTACACGTTTTTATGTAACGCTTACTTATGACTGTAGCTAGAAGATACGCGCAATAACACACATACACACACACACTCTGAGCAAATTAATCACATCCTAATTTTGCAATGCAGCTTAGTTTCGTGCTCTCTTGCCTGCAGTACTTGTTGAGGTATAGCGTATATCAATATAGTATATCAATATGTAGGTGTTAGTGTATGTGGGTGTGTGCGTGCGTGCATTTTCGCAACACGCCAACACTAAATGAAGTATATTATACCATATGAACGAAGATGATTTAACAATGTAGTGTGTGTATGTGTGTGAGTGAGAGAGAGATAAAGAGAGAATATGCACACCTACACAATATGCCACCTGACACACACAAGCACATGCACACACACTTTAGCACACTAACTAAGGCCTACTTACCAAAATTGACCAATCAAATTGCTGATACATTAACGTATAAATATGTAGTAAATAAAATCAGTCATCTTCGATCTTTTCTGTTTTTACTACAAATGCGTGTACAACATTGATTATCATATATAAATAAATAAATAAATATCAAGATTATGTCATCAAAGAGGAGCTCATTTTTAACCCGTGATCACTGCTGCTATTCATAATTAAATGGAACTACTACTCTCAGTATTATTATTATTATTATTATTTGTGGAATATCTTATTACAGTATAAAAGACAGAAACGAGTATTAACGATGGAATAAGGTGAACTTCATAATCTCTCGTAATCACCGGTGTGAAACATCTCTCCCTCTCTCTCTCCCTCTCCACGCATATATACCTATGTGTATTATTTAAGTTTTAAAAGGAGATATGTATTTGATAATAGTACTACTAATATACAACACTCTATTGCTACCAAGATATTCGTGTCAACAGTATAATGAAGAAATAATAATGCTGAATGGATTACCACAAATTTCAGTCACTTCTCTAGAATTACCATTAAATGACCGCCGAATAATGACGTCGTCGTATCCGACGCTTACACCCACATCCGTGCCATCACCGATGATGGAGGAGTTAAAAGAAACACACAGTTTTTGCTTATTGATGTATATCAACGATCCAGGAATTATTATGATTCCATCCACAGTGGATTTATTCAATTTTTATTTACAACCAATAGAATCGAAAGAGATGAATGAAAGATTATGGGCTGTATTCCAGTTGACTAGTAGTAGTAGGAGGAATTCAATGTATCCGTATTATTCTTCAAACTCATTATTGACGCCTATATTACAGTATATCAATAATTCATTGAGTATAAATCAAATTGAATTACCCGTCATTAAGCCATCATCAAACACAATGCATGTATTCACTTTTACACTATTCAACAGCCTATTTATTGATAATGGTGTTAAAGTGATTGGAAAACTAGCCTCCCCAACGATTCCATCATGTCTACAGGAAAATATTCCAAACTTTTGTTTATCCTTAATTAACTGTGAAGCGATTATGCCAAGTGTGCAGACAACACTCGATGATCATTCAGAGAGTGTACCACAACGACGACGTCGTTACAGACGTGATGTATCGTCAGCCTCAGCCTCCTCGTCCTCCTCGACAAATTCAACAGATACAAATCAATCCAGTCCTACTGGTCTAAGTCCTGGCCTACTAGCTGTTGCTATTATTGTCCCGATAATCGGTGTTGCTGGGCTAGCTGTAGGCGGTTATTTCTTATATCGTTGGCTGCATTCACGTCGGGCAGCTCATGGTATATATCACCCCAATCAAATGGAGAATAAAGCCAATGCTTTCAAAGAACCGGAACCACAGACAATTATTAAAATACCACAAGAAGAAAGATTAATTTAAATTATTAAGAGGTCTTGTTAGACAAACACACACTTTGCTGACTTCTAAAGCGAAATCGCCATTCCTTAGACGATTTTTCTACTTCCTACTCTGGTTTATTATCATGATTATTATTATTTTGTTTCTATATCACTATTACATAATTATTTCTTTCTATTTCCTCTGTTGATGTCTGTCTGCTTTTGCGCGCGTGTGTGGTGTGTGTGTGTTTGTGTTTAGCGCAAGTGTATTGAATTCGCCCTGAAAGCCAGACCAGTGAAACGGTATATACCAAAGGAGAATTTTCAATATCGTATCTGGTGGTTCATCACATCACAACCATTTGAATATTGCATTTTTATCTTCATATTAATTAATACAATATCATTGGCAATGAAAGTGAGCTCTCCCCTTACCCCCCCTACCCCTTCCCATATCCCATTTTTTGTGCGTGTGTATGTGTAAACTTTGGTTCCTTTTGTGCATGTATTTTGATTATTTGTTGTCATTGTTTTTTTATTGATCTGTTAGTGCTTTGTTTAAATTAAGCATGGTTTTTTAAAAAAAATACTTTTCTAATGAATTATATGGCTGTGAATATTCTGTGATTATCACAATATACTTGGGAGTGTTGAATATATATTTAAAGTTGAAGAAGACCAAGGTTGATGCTATAGACAGTCTATTTTGAGCAGTAATTGCGGGATTAACAGGATAACTAGTGTTGGTTAGCTGTCCTAACGCGCTTCACATTCTGTGTGTGTAGTAATCAGGAAAATAACAATTATTCTTTTTTATTGTATCTTGGCCCACTGAACTTGGAGTATACTGGAGGATAAATAAATAATTAAATATTAATTATCAGATGAATACATTTCGAATACCTTTTAAACAATTATTATTATGTTATTGTTCCCTTGGATTCCTAGTGGAACATAGGGCTTCAACTACTCGTCTCCACATGCTTCTGCCTTCTGCTGTACTTTTCACCTGCATCCATGTTAGTCCATACTGTTTCAATTCCTCTTCACACGATCTCCATGTCACCCTTTCGGGTTCCACTCGAGCGTTGGCCTGACGCGCAATGTCACCCAGCGGCCTCCTCCGCGACTGTCCAATCCATCTCCACTTTCTCCTGAATATTTGTTGAGCGATCGGTTCTTGTTTTGTTTGTTCCCATAGTTTCTTGTTGGTGATTCTTTCCGGCCATCTGATCCTCAGTATAGAGCGAAGACAGTTAATTGTTGGTAAATGTCTGCAACAGGCTGTTGGAAATATTCTTTGTGACCCGTCAAGTTTCTGATCCGAATAGAAGAACTGACTGACTTGACGTTTGTATTGAAAATCCGAATTTTGTTGTTGATGTTGAGGAGTGACGAAGATTTCCAGATTGGTTTCAGGTTGATGAATGTGTTTCTCGCCTTCCCGATTCTCGATTTGACATCCTCGTCCGTTCCATGTGCCTGTAGTTGAGACAATGCTCCCTACCTTGATAAGTGAATGAAGTAACCTCTTCCAAATCCCTCCCATTGATGGTGATTGGCGCTGGATGTTAATGTTGTTATTGTTGGTTGGTTATTTTCATAACCTCTGTCTTATCTTTGTTCATCTGCAGTCCTGTCTTCTCTGGCTGCTTCTTCGACTAGTTTGTCGGTTTTCGCTTGTAAGTCTTCGATTTTGTGTGACATCAAACATAAATCATCCACGCGCGAAATCCAGGTCTTCTAGGTTCTTCATGTCAGTCCAGGATATCCCTGTCTTCTCGTTTTCCACTGTCTGACGCTTATCCAGTCCACCACAATTAGGAATATCATTGGTGATAATAAGCACCCTTGTCTGCCTCCTGTGTTTACCCCAAACACCTCGCTGAGTTTTCCGTTGTGGATCACTTGATATGTGCCATTGTCGTACAGCTGTTGAATAAGGCTGATGAATATTTAGGGTACGCCGTAGTACTCGAGTAGTTTCCTGATTAAGCGATTACGCTTAGCTAAATCATCCGATTCTATCTCTTCTATTTTCCGGATTGAATATACTCTTATGTTGGCTTAAAATGAAGCTGAATAAACTTAGATTGAAGCTTAGATTTCAAAATTTTGTGAGGATTCGATTTACCTCAAGTATGATCTCGAGCAGATGTTAGTTGGGTAGGACCAATGGAACAGCTGTTTCTTCCTAGTTTTGAACTCTCCACCAGTACACACTCACTGTGGTTCAAGCTCGAGGACCTTCCGGCTACAAGTCAAGCTTGGGGACCGTTCAGTCACTGGGATACCAAACTTAGTGTCCCATAAATTTCATCCTCTCTCAATTCATGATTTCAGTGTGTCTACAGGCTAATATCATCGGCTTGTATTTGTCCAGCGAGTACTGCACACCTTAGTTCCTTTTCGAATGATCTGTTTTAGAAACATTAATCTTTTTTAGCTGGTTGATAGTTTTGTGGCAATGGAACGTCGAGGATGAAAATTTTGTCATGTTTTGAACCCATCAGGTGAGTGTACTTGCATCTCTTGTAAGTGATGCCGTTCCTATTTGATCTTGCATCCTGAATTCCATTGCTAGTCACCGTCGACCAAATACTACATTATGCTAGCCTTCAGGTATCTTTGTGGAGTCCGTCACAACATTTCAACTTAAACTGTGCATTTCCGTTCAATCTGTGATACAAAAATAACTTGGTAAAATCATTAGTTCTTCTTTTGAAATCCTCCTCCAAAAAAGGAATACTAATGAAGTTAGCTAAGTCAAACTAAGCGCTTATCATCGTTACTTTTAAACTAAGCTCATATTGTAGTAAGTTACTGGGGGTGTTTTTTGTCTTTTCAATGTAATATAATACCTGGTTATCTCTTTTCGATTTCACATTTATACATACAAAGTTTACAGAAATCAAAATGTTACTGACTTCAAGTGCTGGTTTGTAGGGATTTGATTGGTTACAGGATTTCATGATGAGCTGACATTGGTTAGAGAACAATTAAAAACCAGCCGGAGAGTACTGGACGGTTGTTTCGTCCTAGATTGGGATTCTTCATCGGTACGCACCCACCGGTGTTCTAGTGAGAAGTCGTGACCAGTAGGGTGCAGCAGACCGGGTGTAAGGACAAATACTCGCCGAAGACATTGGCCAGTGATAGCGCTATGTCGTGGATTGGCAGAAGTTAGAATTCATGGGCCATTGGATTTGGTCCCAGTGGCTTAATGGTCTACGAGCTCGCCTTGTAACCAGGAGGTCCTAGGTTCGAGCCCCGGTGGTGAGGAGTCCCAAACTAGGACGAAACAGCGATCCAGCACTCCCTGGCAGGTTTTTCAATGGTTCTCTAACTAATCTCAGCTCATGATGAAATCTTGTTACTGACTTATTGATATGTTGATTAAAATTCGGTATAGTCACAGTTATTATTTGGATGCAAAGCTGTTTTATGCACTTTTGGGATAATATACAAATAGTGCCAAGCTGTTTGACAGCCTAATAGATTGGAACAGTCTAAAGCAAAATTGTTATTATTATTTATTATTATGATTGTCGTTCACATTTGGGGTTGGAGTGGAACATGCGGCTTCAGAAGCACATCTCCACTACACTCTGTTCGTTGTAGCACAATTTTAGCTAGCTCCACGATGACCCGTAAGTTTTCATCTCTTCCACACATACACCTCCCCCACACACAGAGCCTTCTACATGTCACCCTCGGACACAATGTTCAACTCATCGATTCCTATTCAATTCTCAATTGACGGCCTACCTAGTGGGTGATATCACTTAGCCGTTACCTTAGCGTATGTCCAATCCATCCACATCTCCTTCTGCATATTTTTTTAGGCGATAGGTTGTTGGTAGATTGGTTGCTAGAGATCCTTTCCGTCTATCCCTTCTAGCTGTCCATCTGATCCGAAGAAGGCGGCTGTTGATAGAAGTCTTCAGCGGCCTATTTGAAATGTTATTCGTAATGTACCAAGTTTTTGAATCATACTGAAGCACTAACTGATTCGACATTAGTGTGGAGAATCTTGATCTTGTTCCTCATGTTGAATGCAGCAGATCTCATCAATAATTTTAGTGTATGAGGTAAAATTATAGTCTTTAAAATAAAGGAGAGGGTTTGTAGCTCTTGTGAGTGTTTTAGATGAGCCTATGTCCTCTAAGCCAAATGATTTAATTGTGAAGCTTTCCTTTATCTGTCCTTCTGGACAATATCCTCTGGTGCTTTCTTCAGTGTGAAGTGAATATTGTAGAATTCGTCATGAAAGATATCACTGTCTCTCTAGATACTCTCTACTCTCTAATCTACTCTCTCTCAAAACTTTTCCTATCCTCACAGTAATCTGTATTAATGGTGATTACTTCAAAACGCGTATGCGTCAGTAGCACAGAGGTTACGATGATCACCGACCATCCTTATCGTTCGAGGTTCGATCCCCGGCCACTGACACACTCCTTTACCTCGTTAAGCCAGTAAAATAAGACTGGTAAAGAGGAAAGGTTGGGAATGAGGCTAGCAACCCCATCCTGTAAAAATAAACACCACTGCTACAGAAACTTCAAACCCCTAGCTTGAAACCCTATGTTCCATTGGGAACGTGAAGGTATAAAAAGAAAATCCATTTACGCGGTATTTGACTTTTTAGCTGCATAATTCGGTGTCAGTTAATTAATAAAATACACTTATATCAACATAGCTGTGGAGTTCAAATTGACACAGGCTTGTAGGAATACACTGTCATTTTCATTAATAATATTGTTTAAAATTTTCACATTTTCCCGTCCATAGTTGTATCCATGTCACTTCTTTTGATGCCTAGTCTAACTCGGTCGGTCATCCGGTTTTCGACATAGAACTCTGCACATATGTGCGGCAGTTCAAGTCGCCACACTCTATGTAGCACACAAAGGAAGAGAAGAAAGTAGGAGAAATGCATAATATAGACAGTAATACAGACAGTCTAACTGGACATCCACTTTGGCTAATGTGTAGCATCTTTCACAGTTTGTGTAGTTCAACTTGTAGATAGTGTATTGATCCTGTCTTCTTTTTCTGTTGTGCCTTTTTGTCTGCATACCATTGTATTGAAGGAAGTGTGATTGTGTTAGTTTATAATGAAATGTTATCATAGCTGAATAATTCCAAAAATGCCCATTTCATACAAAAGTAAGCACTGAAAACGTCGTCTAGAAGGGTGGAAGTGGAAAGTTTCACAAAATTTAGTCATCCAGCTCAGAGAGCACTACCACGCCAAAAACATCCACGTAAACTTTTTTTCCTATAGTTGATTTGTAAGGATTAGTTTTGTTTTTAAGAGTTGATCATGGATTGATATCAGTTAGAGAACCGTTGAAAACCAGATTGGAGTATTGGACAGCTGTTTCATCACACTTGTTTGGGAATCATCGGCAGTACGCACCCACCACACGAGGTTCGAACCCAGGACCTTCCGGTTACAAGGTCAGCGAGCTCGTATACCATTCAGCCACTGGAACCGATTCAATGGCAAGTAAATGAATTCTAACTCCTACCAATTCGTGATTTAGCACGACCAGCAACCAGTCTCATCGGTGGGACCTCCACCCTCACACTTGACTGGATGGACCTCACTGGTCACGACTTCTCACTAGAACTCCAGGAAACTCCACCCTGTGAGAAGTCACTGATAGAAGTTAGAAGTCATGCACCGGCCATTGAATCGGGTCCCAGTGGCTGAATGGTATTCGAGCTCGCCTTGTAACCGGAAG